AGCTTATAGTAAGCATACATTCAAGCTTGGTTACAAAAAATAAAACATGCATCATTTTTCATTTGCCAACCAAGCACAAAGTTATTTTATACTGACTGTATATTTTAAAGTATACTCTCAGATATGGCCTCTTACAGTATTTAAGATATAGCAAGGACATGGCTGATTTTTTTTTTAATAAAAAATTGGCACTAATAAGTGGGTTTATTGGTCTTTTCTAATTGTATAATTTAATTTAGTACAAAGTTTGTAAAATATCAGAGGATATATATATATTGTTTCTACGACATGGTATTGCATTTATATCTTTTTACTACAGTGATCTGTGACAGCAGCTTCATGTTGTATTTTTTTTACTGAAATTGTAAAATATCCATCTTACAGACATCAACTATTCTGAAAATTGTGTACAGGATATTCCTTTAGTGGTGGAATTAAAATGTACGAATATTTGCTTTTTCAAAAAAATGTATTTTCTGTTAAAGGTTTAAAGATTTTTGCTATATATTATGGAAGAAAATGTAATCGTAAATATTAATTTTGTACCTATATTGTGCAATACTTGAAAAAAATGGTATAAAAGTATTTTGAGTCAGTGTCTTACATGTTAAGAGGGACTGAAATAGTTTATATTAAGTTTGTATTAAAATTCTTTAAAATTAAAAATGCCTATTGTGTGGTCCTTGCTTTTAAACCTTTGCTAGAACACTGTGACTGGAGTTAGGCAGTAAAAGCAAATGAAGAGGAAGATCTGAGTCCTTGAGTCAAGGAATATGGAAAGCAGTGGCTCTGCTTTTGCCTCAGATGTGGGGTTGCCAAGGCTAGGATGTAGCTCGGTAGAGTGCTTGCCTAGCATGCATGAAGCCATGGGTTAGTTCCTTGGTGCCCCATAAACCAGGTGTGGTAATAGGTGCTTATAATCACAGAATGAGAAGTTCAACGTTATCCATGGCTACATAGTTTAAGAGTACCCTGGATTATGTGAGACTCTGTCTTTAAAAAAGTCCTATCCAGCTGGGAATGGTGGCGCATGCCTTTAATCCCAGCACTTGGGAGGCAGAAGCAGGTGGATCTCTGTGAGATCAAGTCCCAGACAGGTCTGCATAGTTCCAGGCCAGCTGAGGCTACAGGGAGACACTTTCAAAAATACCAGTAAGTCCTGTCCATATCAGGATAGACTGACCAATGCTCGAGGCAGCTTTATTTTTTTTAGCAACCCACATCACTCTGTCCCCAGTGACAGCAATGGATATTGAGGCTGGTCAACTTTTTGTTTTGTTTTGTTTTTTTTTGAGAGAGCATCTCCCTGTAGCCCCAGCTGCCCTGAAACTCACTATGTAGATCAGGCTGGCCTTGAACTCGCAGAGATCTGCTTGCCTCTGCCTCCCGAGTGCTGGGATTAAAGGCATGCGCCACCTCGCCCACTCTATTTTACAGCAAGTTGCAAGGTGGTCAGATGGAGTTATTTGCGTAATCTGAGCACCTTTGTTTGAAATGTATATAGAGAGGGAGACCAGTATTTTTCCCTTTTTTTGTGAGAGGAATAGCTCAGAAAATGGTTGAACAAAGCAGCTAGCCTACCCTTAAAAGGAAAATATTTAGGTCTTTTTACCAATCCTTAAAATTCAGTCATTGTAGCCAGAGAGATTTTAGGATTAAAATCATCCACAGTTGGAAAAGTTGCTAAAATTAGTATTTGTTCTATTTCCCAGGAATATGTGTATGTATGTGTGTGTGTGTGTATTTTGCAGATGGTATCCAACCTGGTTGGGGAGCTTTACAAATTAGTTACTGATAGTGCATCAAATTGTAGAATCTAGGGTGGTGTGGTGTTGATGGTATAGTGGTAGGCATAGCTGCCTTCCAAAAGTTTTTTTTAAGTGACTGGGCATGGAGGCACATTAATTCCACCAGTTTATCCAGGGCTACATAGTAGGACCCTATCTCAAACAAAAAGGACCAAGCATGGTGGTGCACGCCTTTAATCCCAGTGCTTGCGAGGCAGAGTGGACCTCTGAGATTGAGGCCAGCCTGGTCTACTTAGTTCCAGGCCGACTGGGAGACCCTGTTTCAACAATACAAACTTAAAAGTGATTCATTTCCATGTTTAAGTGTCTATTGATAAGTGTTGATAGAGTATTGGTGAGAAAAGTGTCTTGAACTGGGGTAACAACTGCTTTTCTAGTAAGAAACCAGCACTGTCTGGGTTACCAGTGAAATAAATTTGGTCTCAAATGAGGTTTTTGGACACCAGTCTACAAAAGCCTTTTTGTCACTTAAGCTGTCTAGAACAGTAAAAGTTTTAAGGAAACAGACACTGGAAATAATAGCCGAACTGTTTGGTGGGCTCCACGGCAAGGCTGTTGTCTGGTAGTGGACAGACTGAGACTGTGGAAAAGTATTGGCTCAGCAAGCAGAGCCGTAGAGTAGTAATCGCAATTAAACTTGTAAAAGGTTTAAACATGAGTTGACAGAAACTTTGGTGCTGGTGAAGTTATCACAGGTTTAACTTGGAAGAACTCTGCCTATAAATGAAAAAGTGTGAGTTAACATACTTTTAGTCTGAAAATCAGGGTAATTCAACTTGACTACATAGACAATAGATTTTGTTAAAGTTTAGAATATATAAATGGTTCATCTCATAGGGAAATTTCATGTATATATAGGTATATATACACATTAATATTAGTTTGCACTTCAGAAAGATTATCTCAAAATTTTTCTTTGATTGGTTTCAGGAAATCAGATTTGATTTGAGCTTAGTGTCTTTGAGTGCTTTTTTTTTTTAATTTAATAACCACATGATTAGAAGAAGCATTTCATTACAGCTTTAACATATTCAGTAACACATTCCAGAGCAAGGATACATCGCTTTCAAAAGTGGCTGTAAATTTTTAGGTTCACAGTTGATTAATATAGTTATACAATATTGAACTCAGTATAAACCCCACAAAGGTGCTGAGACCATGACCTTGAGTGCTTTTTTTTAAGAGAATAAACAAAGGTGGTTTTCATGCCTTTTTCCTCCCTCATTAGGAATGGAAATTGTTTAAAAGGAATTTATGTCTAGCACATCCTAGAAAAGCTACACTTAATCCCCAGCCTTTTCTCTCCCCACTGTGCCATCAGCTCTTGGTCCTCTGTGTGAAGACTGTTTTGGTTGACAGTTTGAGGAGTTAATTATTTTCATAGGTCTGTCCCATCTTTTTATCCTCTGTAACTGTAGATCCTGTAGCAGCCCCGAAACACACTTGCCTTACAGGGTGCATAACTCACCTAGGTAGGAGGAAAATGATAGTAGACAGGAGCTTCAGAGTTTAGTGTATCTAACTGCCCATGCCTTGCCTTCTCTAAAACCAGGTACAGTCTGAAATCTTGTGTTTTTTTAAAAAATATCTAATTTTTATTTTATGTTTATGAGTGTATTGCCTGCATGTGTGTAAGTGCTTCTGTGATGCAATGGCCACGGAGGTCAGAAGAGGGCATCATCCCCTGGAACTAGAGTTATGGATGGTTGTTAGCTGCCATGTGGATTCCAGGAACCAAACCCAGGTCCTCTGTAAGAACAGCCAGTGCTCCTCATCACTGAGCTATCATCTCTCCAGCCCCTGAAATCTTGTTTTTGTTTTGAGGCAGGGTCTTAACCCAAGCTGCCTCCAACTCATTAGGGAGCTGAGGATTGCTTTGAATTCCTGATCCTCCTGCCTCTGCCTCCTAAATGCTGGGATCACCGGTGTGCACCACCACACCCAACCTGAAATCTGAATAGCATTCACTTGGTAATACAAGGGCAAACAGGCCTCTGCAGTCAAAATGCCTCCTGGCGTAATGACAATGTTCATTTATTGTAATTAGTTAACTTTCCTTTTGAAGATGATGCTAAAGGTACCCTGAAGTTTTAAAATGTTTTTCCAAGGGGCTGGAGAGATGGCTCAGAGATTGAGCACTGGCTGCTCTTGGGGAGGATCTGTGTTCAAGTCCCAGCACCTACCTACATGGCAGCTGACAACCGTCCATAACTCCAGTCCAGGGAATCCGATGCCCTCTTCTGACCTCTGAGGGCATTACACAACATGGGTGCACTTATACACATGCAGGCAATACACTCATAAAATAAATGTTTAAAAATTTTTTAATGTATTAATTTCATTCACATAGATGTTGTAGGTACTACTATATTTAATCTAGCAAAACTTCAGGACTTGGGCTATTTAAAATAAGTCATTAACTAGAAAGAAAGTTAAATATGTCTTTTGACATACTTGAACTAATGAAGTAAAATACCAGTTGAAGACCTTCCTCCATGCCTATTCCTTACACACACAGAAAATAGCACAGGCATGGGGTATACAATATACAGTTGTCCCTTTGTGTTCCTGAGGGATTGGTCCCAGGACCTCTGCAGGCACCAAAATCTAGAAATGCTCAGGTCTCTAATATAAATTTGTGATATTTCAAATGACCCATGTACACCTTCCTGCATACTTTAATTCATTTATAGATTATAGTAGCGCATACAGTGTAAATGCTATGTAAATAGTTTAACCTACATTATTTAGGGAATAATGACTAGAGTGTACATACCAAATAAAAATGATTTTTTTTTTACAAATTTTCTACTTGTAGATGGTAAATCCATGGCTGCAAAAGCCACAGATAAAGAGGGCCAATTATATCTTTGTCTAGCTGGAATGCATGCTTTTCTCAGAAGCTATATGTAACTTATTGTGTGAAAATAGATGAGGAAAATAGCCTTGTCAGAAGACGAAGTGTGTGAATTTCTCATTGCTCACTAAGACCCATGACATTGCTTAGTATGCCAACAGTTGGCCCAGGAGATCACTTGAGATCAGATTTCTTTAGTTTTTGTGGTATATTTAGGAAATATTTTCTTCTTGTTAGAAAAATCTAGAATCAATATCTGTGCATACAGCTGGAAAATAGTGCACTTAATGTCTGTTGAAGCCATTTTTAAAAATCTGGTAAATGACTGAGTTAAACACTTCTTTAGGCCTTTCTAGGTGCCAAGCACAGTTCTGAGTTTATAAACCACATGGGGTAGACAGTAGGGGTGGGAGGAGATTGAGATACAAAAAGCTTAACTCAAGATCGCATGGCCAAAAAGTGGCACACTTGGGATTCAACCTCAGTCATTTTGGAGTTTGTGCTTTTAAATACTCTGTTTCATCCCCTCAGATTAATTACTATTATGATTTGAAGTCAAGGGAATAAACCTGTTTTTGATGTACTAGACACATGACTTGTAGAATTTCTTATAAAAGTGTTATTAGGAAGGGTCTAGTGGGGGCCTGAAGAGATGGTTCAATGGTCAAGAGCACTGGTTGCTCTTCCAGAGGACTCAGATTTGGTTCCCAGCACTCACATGGCAGCTAACAACCATTTGTAACTCCAGGTCCAGGGGATCTGCATGCACATGGTGCACCTACATGCTAAACACCTGTACATATAAAATAAAAATAAATAAGAAAAAGGAGAAGGGTCTAGTGGAAGGCTATTTTATTAACCATGTGTATCAATCAGTTTTGCCAATACCAGAGGCTAGCAACTGAGGAAAACGTTTAGCTGGGCACAGTGACACATACTGCAATCCCATTATTTGGGAGGTAGAGAGAGAAGGATCAGTAGTTCAAGACTAGCCTCAGCAA